TTTTACCATAAATCTTTATGTTATAATCTTCATTGTTTTTATATTTAAATGACTGTCTGTTGTTGTTCGGAGTGTGTTGAAATTACCCAGTATTATTGTACTGAGGTCTGTCTGGGATTCGATATCAAGAAGTATTTTTTTAATGTAATTAGGTGCACTGGCATTTAGAGCATATATATTTACTATTGTTATATTTTCTTGTTGGATTGTTCCTGTTAGCACTCTGTAGCGGCTTTCTTTGTCTCTTCTGATTAATTTTTGCTTAAAATTGCTTTGTTGGGCATGAGAATAGCTACTCCTGCTTATTTTCAGACTCCTTTTACGTGGAATATTTTTCCATCCTTTTACTCTTAGCCTATAAGTGTTTTGCCTATTAGATATCTGGGTCTTTTTTAAACAGCATATAGTTGGATATTATTTTTTAATCCATTCTGCCAATCTGTATCTTTTAGTTGGGGAGTTGAGACCACTTACATTCAGTGTTATCATGGATATATATTTTGTTGTTTCCTGTCATCTTGGTTTGTTTGCTATGCTTAATTCTGTCTTAATTTTCATTTTGTTTGTTGATCTTCTAGTGATCTTTTCTTTGTGTACTTGGGAGTTTGTTTTTAGGTTCCTCTGTGTGCAGTATATATATATGACTATATTCTGTAATGCTGGCTTAGTGGTCATGAATTCTTTTAGTTTATTATTGTCATGGAAAGTTGTGTTCCTTCTTCAATTTTGCAAGATAGCTTTGATGGATATAGCAATCTTGGCTTGCAATTGTTTTCTCTTGGAACATTGAATATCTCATTGTACAGTCTCCTTGATTTTAGGATCTGGTTTGAGAAGTCAGAAATGAGCCTTATTGGTTTGTCTTTTCTTCTTATTTTTCATGGTTATTACTATCATTATCATTATTATTACTATTAATACTGCTATTTTTTGAAAGCAAGGACTTCTTCCTGGACTTGCTGGTTCAAAGGCATTTAATGTTGAGTACTGTCCCAGACCAGCAGGGATTCTCCATGATTCATGTAACTCTTTATGAAAGAGGATTGAGTGTATATGTATTTATTTGTGAGGAGGATGACTTTATTTTTTAAAAAATTATTGCATTTGTGTGTAATTGATCAATTTAATAAAATAAATGTGATTATATATCTATTTTCCAGATTAAGAAAAGTAACATAACATTACTGGCCTACTCATGCATTTCTCTCCCTATTTTCCAAAAGGAGTGCTGATTTATTTATTTCATGAGTTAGTTTTTTCTTTATATAAGGAAAATAATGCTATATATTCTCCTTAATTTTTGGTTCACTTCACCAGATACATGGTTTTGAGATTTATTTATTGTGTTTAGCAGTGATTTGTTCATTCTTTGTTATAAAATATTTCCATGTATGGGAATAACACAACTTGTTTATACATTTTACTTCTGATAAACATTTGGTTGTTTACACCTTTTGACTATTATAAATGATGATGTTATGAGCACTTTTGTATATACATTTTAATGCACATATGCATATTTACATTGGACATATATATAGAAGTGGAATTTCTAGATCTCAGGTGAAGCATGTTTTGTTTTTTGTAGGTAATTTCCAATTTTCCAAAGTGTGCCAATTTGCACTCTAGCTGTGTTTGAGAATTCCAGTTGCACTAATTCCTTGGTAAAACTTGGTACTGTCAGTCTCTTTACTTTGAATCATTTTTGTGGGAAGCCATCCTGACACGTGACTGGGCGACTCCCGTTAAGGGTCTGAGGCTTCTGGCTGTGTCGGAATTTTCCCGGCCCTTTCCTGATGAGAGAACCCGTCCGTGTGGGGGTGTGACTGACCACTGACCCCGGGGGCCCAATCACTGACCCTGACCTTGGAGTGCAGTCCCCCCTCAACCTTCATTGGATGGAATTATCCCCTGAATTTCTTGTTCCCCAATAAAAGGCTACTCCCTGGCGTGTTCACTCTCTCTCTCTCCTGCTAGCCCTGAGTAATCCTTGCTGCCCTGCTGGGCGGTTAGAGGTCGGAGCCAGAGAGGGGAGCCGTCTCGGACCTGGCAATAGAAATAAGGTAACTGAGTCTGTGTGTTTTATTTCGATCTCTTCTAACTAACTTTATGCCGAGAACCTCATTAATGAAACCATTGCGCAGGCCGCATGGTAGACATTTTATTAGGTCTGTGGTGCTGTTACACTGTGGTTTAATTTGCAGTTTCTTTATAATGAGGTTGAGTATCTTTTCATATGTTTTTGGCCATTTAGATATCATATTTTATAAATTTCTTAATTATGTTTTTTGTACATTTATTACTGATTCATGGAAGTTCTTTATATGTTCTGAAGACTAATCCTATATATGTATTATAAATAATTTCCCACTTCTTGACTTTCTTTTATTTCCCAGATGGTAACTCTTGATGAACATAAGTTTTATATTTCAATATAACTTAATGTAACAGTCTTTTAGTTTATGTTTTTTATTTTTTGTGCCCCATTAGAGGAAACTTTGTATTCTCCAAGATCATGAGGGTATTCTTCTAGATCTTCTTTAACAATTTTGTTTTTCCTTTTCCTTTTGGGTGCTTTGGTAAACACAGTGCTTTGGTACCCTGGGATGGTGTGAAATAGGAGTTAATTTTTTCATAGGGGTTGTCTAGTTAACACCACTTATTGAAGAGAACATCCCCTTTCCTGATACTTTTTAGTGTTGTTTTTGTCATTAATCAAGTGACCATATATTTAGTAATTGACTTATGAGCTTTTAAATCTATTACATTTGCTTTTATAGTCATTCTGGTCCTAATATCTTATTATCTTAATTACTGTGGTAAGAAATAGTAGATGATTTATAATAACATAATTATAATGTCCTTCTACCTGATGTATTAAGTCCTCCTCTATTGTTCTTTAAATGTATCTTATCTATTTTGATCCTTTTCATTTCTACATAAATTTTGTAATCAGGTTTTCAAAAAGCCCCCCAAAAATTCTTTCTTTTATTGGGTAGCATTGAGTTTTGGGGTTAATTTGGGGAGTATTGGACATCTTGAATAAATTGAGTCTCTTAATTCATAAATATATTATAGTCCTGTATTCTTGTAGGTGTTTTTTAATTTCAATAATATTTTGTCATTCCTTGTACATCTTTTATTGGATTTATTCCTATGTGTTTTGCAGTTTGGAATGCTATTTTAAATGGTACTGTTTATAAATTTTATTTTCTAAATGTTCATTGCTGGTACATGGAAATATAATTGAGTTTTGTATGTTGAATCTTATCACATAAAGAATACATTTTGGTAGTTCCTTTAGAAGTTTTTGACAATAGTTTGCAATTTTTATCTCTGTAAAAATGTCCCTGTTTGAACTTCATTCTTGAAGGAAATTTTTCAGGGTAGACAATAATATTATGTCTGTAGGGTTTCTCCCCCCCACCACCAGGATTTATTTACTCATTTGTTTGTTTGCTTTACAGTTCTAGAAATCAAATTCAGGATCTCATGTATGCCAAGAAGCACTCTACCACTGAGCTCCACCCTCAGTCCCTTAGAATTTAAAAGATATTAATCTTCTGATTTGTGTTAATTAAGTTGAAAAGTCAACATTTTGTTGGGAATTCTTCTTCTTGTTGTTGTTGTTTGATTTTGTCCTTGAAAGTAAAATGTTTTTTCCTTTAGTTTCTTTTGCACATTTTTGGCCTCTGTTTTCAATGGTGTTAAAATTATGTACCTGGGTATGCACTTTTTTCTTAATGCTGCTTGAGTTTAGAAGGATCCTGACTCTTTTTTCTCAATCACAGCGAATTCTCTATCATTATTTTATCAATATTGCTCTGCCTTATTCTCTCTTTCTGGGATTCCAATTACACCTCTTTCATGCTTTTTTGCTACATTAAGTCTATATTTTACTCTGTCTTCTGGATTTTCTATCATTTAAATCAGTCTTCTTGGTTCTGAATAATCTTCTAACCTATCTCCCCTTTTAGTCTTTCTTGCTTCAGTTGTCCCTGACCTCATAAAACACTTACATTGAAGTCTTACTTTCAGTTGTTATGACTTTAAGTTGTATAATTTACATTTGATTCTTTTTTATCATGTCAAATTCTCTGCTATTTAAAAAAATGTTCTTGTAGCGAATGATCATGAATCATATCTTGTTTCTGTTGTCTCTTATTTCTGCTGGTATTCATTAATGACATCTTACTTCCTCATATTTTTCGTCATTTTATAAGTTGCATTTTTTTTGAAGCTGTAAAACATTTCTATTAAAAATGGAAGCTTTCATTATTGGAAAATTATGGAAATGATTTACCCCCTGTGATAATGTTCTCTTCTTCCAGAAAGGACATGTTTCCTTCTTCTAGACAGATACAAGCACCAGCAATCCAGAATCACTTCCTTCTGTTTGAGGACTGAGAGACCATAGTTCCCCCTTATTTTACGTTGCATCTCAACGAAGGGAAAGACTATCAGGGTTTCTATCTTGACAAGCCTTAGAATTCTTATCTCTGTCTCTCTAGCCCTGCTACATGTTCTGAAGTGCTGTGCATATATCAACTGCCCATTCTAATGCAGGAGGAAAAACATAGCCAGATGTTCCCTATTACTCCAATCATTATTTATTTGTTTTCTCCTAGAATATGACCAGTAAATCTTTACTATCTTGTTAGCTCTCCAGTGCCTCTAAATAAATATTTGTTGATATAACTTTTCGGATTATTCTCATGGGGCTGTTGGTTCAAATGATCTCATTCACCACTACTGGACATGGAGATCTAATTCTTAATAGCCTGTTTTTTTTTTTTTTTTTAACTTTCTTTTGAATCACAGAAGTTGATAACAATAACCTCACAAATTATAACCATGAATGTTTATGGTGGTTACCCCCTTTTTAGTGTTCAGTATGTTATTAGTTTTAGTATCCAAAGGTCTATTTGGTATTTTCTTAACTTTCCCAGTAATTTTTGCCACTATGTGACTATATGAATAATTTATTGTTTCAACTGCAGTTTTCAGGAGTTGATTTGGATCAGACATTATTCCAGCCCTTTCCATCAGAGATTGTGTTCCAGAACTATACTCCCTGTGAAGTCTATGAGGTTCCACTGGTACTGAGGAACAATGACAAAGTGAGTATATTTGCTAGGGTACATGAACTTCTCTAGATATATGAATAAGGTTTGAGTAAACTTGGATCCTGTAGGATCTTAGATAAGTTCTTTCATTGGATAGACTTAGGAAAATGGGCCCTTTGGCTTTAGGCTTAATGAAGACACGGCTAGGTCTGTTCAAGTGTTGCTCTACTTTCAGTTCCAGTGCAATGCCAAAAAAGTAGTGAACTCCCAGCGTGTGAACTAACTTGTTAAAAAAAGGATTGATTTGGTGAATGGCATGGAGTTCTCACATTTGAGAACTCAGTTGGGCTGTATTTTTATTTAAGGCAGAAAACAGGTACTGTTAGTGTTTATGTACTCCACATGACAGAACATCATTTTCTCAGTTCAATGTATAGACTCTATGCATAGACACATATGGATGGCAATTATTGAGCATTTATATTTGTATTCTGTAATGCATTTTTATTCTTTGATTTATACTTCTAAAAAATTTCTTGTATTCTCCCTTCTATTTCATATAGCCTTCAGAGTTTTGTCTACAGGTAATTTAGGAAGGCTTCTCTTGCTGTCTAGGCCTCATCTCTGTGTGATTATGATGGAGGATTTCTTCTCCAGTCTTATGTCTTTGTCCTCAGAGATACCTTAGGGGTTTATTGCAAGAAAAGGTATGAAATTCCTGGGAATTTCCTTGACATCTGACAATAGTGCAAGAAGGGAGAATGTGGAAGTTCAGCATGAAGCATGGTGAAATGTGAAACAGGATTAGAGCAGGAAGAAGGCATCTGAGAGGTGGTTTACTTCAAGTGCAAAGTAGAAACACATACAGGAGCCCAAGAACATGGAGACCAAAACATTTGAGCAATAAGAAAAAAGAGAAAATAAGTCTATGTAGGAATCCAAATCAAGTGGGAAGACTTGCAGTTATATTCGGTACAGTAGCTCATTAAAGGAATCAGTGATGCCTTTCAGAGCTCAATAGGGTGATTTAGCGACAGCAAAGTCAGACTTGGAAGAGAATGGTATATTTAGTTCTTTGCTGCAAGTATTGTTAGCAAGAAAAGCTCATGGGACAGAAACTAAACGTAGGCAAAGAGATGAAAAAGAATCTGAGGTACTTGGGGTTGAGTCCCTAGACCTCAAGAAGAGGCACATTACATAGACACTGAGAATTTTCTTTTCATGTAGGGCTTCCAACCAATTCGGTTTCTCACTTTGACTTCTCTTTTTCCTTTATTACTTTTTAAAATTCTCTGTCAGTTATTCTGAGGCTATTAAAGGCAGAGAGGAGCTAGTTCAAAGGGTCTTTTGGGCAATCCTCCTTGGCCCTAAACAAGAAATGATTATCATGGGGGTATATATAAGCAAGTCAAGGGGAAGGGACTGGGTTAAGTTTTGTCAGCACTCAGTTCTCGTGGATAGTCCAATACTGCTTGGTAAGTTCAGCGAATGTAGGCCCCATAGAAAGAGGGAAAGTCCAGCTGCCAACAAGCAGCCTTCTCCAGGCTGGGCAGGCCTTTGTACAGAGTGGCTGATGTTAGCCAGTTTCTCTGCTCCTTCAGTTCATGGTTTTATAAGGAGCCACTGGGAGAGACTTAGGACTCAGAGAAATATGCCCCATTTACCCTTTGCTTTCTCATTGACAGGGAGTATAAAAAACAGAACCTGTTTTACATTATCTCTTTGTTTCATACACATCTGGGTGAGAGTAAGCTGTGAGCACTCTATAAACCACACATGATTATATTTTAGATACAGTTATAAGCACCCAGACTCCAGAGTTGGACTAATCTGAGTTCACATTCCAGCTGTGCACTCTCTAGCTAGAGACCAAGGGCACATCCCCTCACTTCTCCAGGCCATGGGGATGATAACAGTACCCATTTCAGTAGAGTGTTTTGAATATGAAATGAGATAATGAATGCATTTAGCTAAGTGGTTGTCACATAGTCGGTACTAACCCAGTATGGGAATTATTATTGCTAGTGCTGCTGTTGATTGCCTTTCTGATTTTTAACAGGTAATTATGCTCTCACTGAATACACTCTCAGAGAGCTTATCCAGCACCACTCAGCACAGCACAGTGACTGCACGTTCCCATGACTAGCAAAGCCTGTTCTGCTCCTATCAGATATGCACACCTCGTCCTTGTCTTCACACTCTCTCGTCTTATCATCTGAGTTCTTTCTTCATTTCTTCTTGTCTTCCCTGCCTGGATTATAGCTCTGGGAGGTTTTTCACTTGAGACTTACGTCATCCTTTAACTAGTTAACTGAGTTATAGTTAACTGTCTTCTGCCCTTTTGGTCATTTCTTAACAACTCCTCCTCCTTTTTTTTTTTTTTTTTTTTTACTACTTTTTTCCCTTTACCCCCCCATTCTCCTAGGATTGCATTTCTTTTATTGCTGGGCTGCTGAGGTAGAGATGTAGCCCTGGGCCAGGCTGATCAAGTGGAGGAGCAAGCCTCTGAAGAGGCCAGCTGTTTGGAGCTGCTGCACCGGTCTGGGGGCACCACTGTGTTTTCTGCTCTTGCTTCCTAGCGGTGCCTTCCTTGGGACAGTCCCACAGGGAGTCAGGCGAGGACTTGCCCCCCGGCACCGCTGCTTGGTGAAGCTTCATCTGTAGAACGGGAACCTTGGGGAAGTGCAAAGGCTATTGTGAGGATGGAGTGGATGGTCATGTCCCTTGGATGGTCCACAGAAGGAACCCATTAAGGTGGTTTCCTCTGGAGTTGTTCTGCAGTGCTGGGAGATCCAGCTTCCCTCTGCTGTGTGGTGAGGTCTTAACTGATGAAGCACTTTAAATAATCAAGTGAACACAGACTTGCAATAATAATAAAAACAAGTAATGGTAATGTTAATAAAAATTAAAGTTGAAATGTATCAAGGCCTGCTTTGTGGGAGGTATTGGGATAAAGAAGGTACTGTCATCAATCTGTAGTTGAGGAAACAGAAGTTCAGACCTGACCAAGGTCACCTGCCTTGTAAGTAGTGGAGGGAAATTTCAGTCTCAGCTTGACTCCAGGTTTTGTGCCTTTTCTTGTTTTTCACATGCACAATGTCTTTCATCATGTGTTTTTTTTTTCCTTCAGATTCCAAGGATGGTGAAAATTATTGAGGAAAGTTCACCTTACTTTAAAGTAGTCAGTCCCAAAGATATTTGCCACAAGGTAGCTCCGGGAGTGCCATCCGTATTCCGAATCCTCTTCACTCCAGAGGAGAACAAGGTAAATAGCAATGCTGGCAAGAAAACAGAATTGTCACTAGAAGTTTACAATTCAATTCCAAACACTCATGGAGGTGAGTGCTTGTGTTATTGGTGGACTTGGTAGGACTGGTGTTGGTGTTGGTGGGCATTGGTATAGAGATCTTAGTGTTTGGTGGTGGCGGGTGTTGGTGGTAGTATTTTTGTCATTGATGGTAGTTGCATTAGTCTGTTTTTTGTTACTATAATAAAATACCAGAGGGTGGATCATATAAGGAAAAGAGGCTTCTTTAGTTCACAGTTTTGGAATTCTAAACAGCATAGCTTTAGCTCTGGTAAGAGCCTCCTTAGCTGAGTTACTTCATGGTGGATGACATTATGGTGAGAGCATGTATGGAAGCTAGAGATGGATTGATGAGATGGGAAGCCAGAGCTTAGGGAGGGTCTACCTCTTGAAGGTCCACACTCTCCCAATGTATGGCAGACCATGCTCCACATGAACTCAGGGGACAAACCACATCCAAACCATCGCAGTGGAGTTGGTGTTGGCAATGGTGGCATGGATGGAACTGTCGTTGATGGTGGTGATGGTGAGAGGAGGGTGTCTAGTAGCACTGGGAATGAGAAATAATTGTCAATCTCTCATATTCTCTTATACCATTCAATTTATACAATATCACACATGCATTGGGAAACCCCTAATTAAAACATTAATAATTGTGGAATCTGAGTGATGAGTACATTGGGGTTTCTTCCACTCTTCTGTTTTCTTTGTGTATGTTATAAAATTTCCATCTTCACAAAGTTTGAGACCCTAGTTGGTGATAGCTTTCCTCTCCAGATTCTAACTTGACTCAAATGTCAATTACGGTATTGACTTGGCAAAGAATGTGACCGAGAGAGTATTTTCTGCTCCCCAATAACTAGTAGATAACTGATACTCAGTAAAAAGATGATCTACCATATATTCCCACCAAAACACAAACAGACAACCTGCAGCTAAGAGCAGAGACCTGGTCTACTTACCCCTGTTGGCCCATAGGCAGTCTAGAAAGGGTCTGCTTTCAATAGGAGGAGAACCCTACCCCCAGCTGCCAGGAATCAGCTCATGATCAGACTCTCTCCTGGGGTCAGCCTTTCCCCAGTCACAGAAACTCTAGTTCCTCCTAGGAGGGAAGGAACAGGTAAGCAGGACTGAGCGCATGGGCCTCCTCCTCAGCCCTTCTCCAAAAGCACAGAATTGTTGGCCAAGTTTTCTTCCCTGTGAGTCTACGTGGAGACTCTTGGGGAGGAGGAAAGGGGTTTTACCAGCACGACTGAAGGAACAAGGACTGAAAACAAGACTTAAGTAGGTGTAACAAAATGTCGGGTTATATGTAATGTTAACAGCATGCGTGCTTATCTGTATGGCACCATTGTGTTTGGAAATTAATGGAGCCCAGCAGAGTCAGGCAGAACTAGCTCTGAGCCTCTGCTTCTCCACCACTAATACTTATTGTAAATTGCTAATGTCATTACCAGTATTCCTGCTGCTACTAGGATTATTTCTACTTTTCTGTAGAGGAGGGATAGAAAATTTCATGTGGCCTGCCAAGCATGTGCTAGCTGTAGTGAATGGGTCAGAATTCCCCTATGGTAATTGTGCTGTCGCTACTTCACTACTTTGTAGTGTTACTATTTATTTCATGCATTTTGTTTATGGAGCTATAATTTTTATTTGGGGTGCTATTAAGATAAATGAAAAGAGGACTCCAGATGTAGGAATTTTTGCTATATATTACTGATGTTTGTTTGTTTTTGCTCTGTCTGAATGCTATCTGTGAAGAGAAGAGAGCCTGGGTTTAGTTTAGTGTCAGCTTCCTGCTCTGGTCACTTCTGCAGGAAGCTGGTTGTAAAACCCTTTGTGTGGCTTGAAATACAAAGCTTTTCTTAATGGTTTTCATGTTAGATAATATATGTCTTCTGTTGGGCAAGTGGTATTCCACCTGCATGTTGCTGAGAAGGTGGAATGTTCTGTACTGTGTTGGGCATGTGAATTACATGATAATTTCTGTGTCAAATCTGTATATTTGATATTTGTTCTTTCAAAAAAATCTGTGGATTTTACCCTGGAAGCTATATTATAATAATAGAGGGAGTTAGTGGGAGTATGGGTGAAACCAGAGTAACAGAATGTTAATAATCGTGGAATCTGAGAAACTAAAAGAAAAGAAATTTTTTTATTGCTTATACTATTTATCTATACAGTCGATAATAGTTGAAACATATTTTAGGTTTACTGGTTCTTTATAAATATTGAATGCTAACATTCTCATTGAGTATTAATACACTTGGCTGCATTTGGTTGCTACTTATCTTACTCCTAGCTTTCATATTCTCTTATACCATTTAATTTATCCAATATTACTCATGTATTGGGAAACCCCTAATTAAAAAAATCAACAAGTTGAATATTGTTAGGCATTTTTTATTCTAAATATTTAAAAGTTGTCAAGGGCTACGTGCATGCATGAGAAGACATAGTGAGACTAATGGTTACCTGTGAGACATTTAACTATCTACTTTTGGATCCATTGAGATTTTGTGTTGGACTTGGACCCTATGCAATAATATAGTTTACAGAACTCATTTTTCTAAAGACAGAGTTGTTCTCTCCTGTTGCTGGGGCTCAGACTGATGATGTGAATTTAGTACCTCCATCCACCCTCGCGGCTGGAAAGCTGACAGGCAGGCGTGCATGGAATGACTGGCTAGGTTTAGGGGCACTGTCTTCTAGGCTGTTCCAGAATGCAGCCAAAGAGTAACTAGAGCCAGATTTATTTTAGGAGAGAGTCAGTCATTTCACGAAATGTCACTGTTTCTTCAGCTGGCCACATTGATAGCCAACGTGCATATGTATTTTTCCTCCTTATCCCCTGCTGATCTGCGGCTCTCCATTCTCATTTGCCCTCCTCACATCTGGAGTGTGAGATATGTAAATTGCAGCATGCCACAGTTAATAAGCCAGTCCCCTTTCAATTGGATTTTCAGTATCCATGTATATTAGCACTTGAAGATGATAATGCAATTTACATTTTTTTCCCTGTCATCTATTAATCTGACTTCCTGGGGATGGAACTTGTTAAGAATGCCAAAAGTCCAGATGACAGGTGCAGCACATTCACTTTGGCTTTCCTTGTCTCTTCCCACACAGACTTTAAAAAGCAACAACAACAACAACAAAACCATTGAATTTGTTATTAGTCTAATATAGAGTATATATCATGTACTGTTAAAATATAATAGTCAATGTTATCATATAATAACACTAAAAAATTCTGGAGACTGGCATTTTTTGACCTCTTAAATTTGAATCTTCAGTATTAAAAAAGGTATGAAAAATATTAAGCTTTTGTCAGAAAGCAAAACAGTACTTCCTCAAACTTAAAAAAAGCATCTTGTTTATACACGTTATCACGTGGAAATGGCAGCGGTGTTTGAAGAGAATATCCAGTGACACAATTTTCTTATTCAGTTAAATTTTGAGAAAATGTCTAATTTGTTGTCCAAATGGTTTTCCTACTTTGTTATTACGAAATATAAAAACCTTGTCCCGAGGAGAATAGAAATGTTAACATATTTTATGTGTTCTAGGTGTATAATAATCATAAACTATGTTGCCAGCATTTCAAATCAAAGTGTAGTTGTCATCAAATTTTCCACAGCCAATAATTCTTGTTGGCAAAAATAATGGTAGGGAGTCTGTTTCCTTCCTGGGTGGAATGAGCCCTCCCCGGTTCTGTCGGGATCTCCTTAGAATCCCAGGGCCTAGCACAGTGCCCAACGCATAGGAAATACACAGTAAGTATTTGTTGAGTGAGATAAGTAAATAAAAAGTTATTCCCAATAAAATATAATGAAACTTCTTCAACTTGGAAGACGGCCTACAGATGATAAAAGCAAAGTATAGGAAAGGACTCATTTTCTTTTTGTGTCCTAAATGTTTTCAGAGTTAACTTTCCCATCATTGCAACAGGAGAAAGACGTCTAAGAAGTCTTCTCTAGGAGGGATGTTTCCATTTTCTTTCATGTCTCAATGAGTCGTCTCACTACTTTTTAGCTTTCTGGACTTGATAAATATAATTGGATAATCAGGCTAATGAGGAATTCTCTTTATGAAGAACCCTTGATAGTTTTGTACCCCGATGAAGATATTATGGTTGACTAATGTTCTTTGGCTCACTGTGTGCATTGTTTGAGCTACAATCCAACAGTTTGGCCTTCATAGAGCTTATGTTACCTGGTGAGTTGACAAATATATAATTAAATGTCAGTTAGTGACATGATAAATGATACTCTTTGATAAAATGAAGAGTATGATAAATAAAGCTCTTTCCCTGAAATAGGAGGGTCAGGGAAGATTTCTCTGTTGGAGTAGCATCTGGGCAAAAAACTAACTTAAGCCATGCAAACATCTGAGGAAAAAGCTTTCTGGGAGAGGGAACAGCAAGTACAAAGGCCCTGTGGCAGAAACATGCTTGGCTACAGGTTTGGGGGGTGCAAAATGACCAATGGGGCTGAAGCAGAGGAAGCCTCCGGGGAGAGGCAGAGGATAAGGTTGCAGAAGGTAAGATCATGAAGAGTGAGGAGTCATTCAGAGAGGGGGAGAAAGTCACTATAAAGCACTTAAAATATTTTTATTATGAAAGCTTTCACTGATATGTAAAAGTTGAGAGTATAGTGTGGTGGACTGTCATTGCCCAACCCTTCCCACTATCAGTGCACAATCAGTCTGGCTTTGTCCACCCTGCTCCTATCCTCAAAGGGTTTGGAACCCATACATCAGATTTTTTTCAATTGTAAATACTTCATTATTTGTCTCAAAATCATAAGGAACTTTTTAAAAGTTAACCACAATACCAAAAGTATACCTAAAAAATGACCATTATTCCTTAATAACATCAAATATTCCGTTAGTATTTAGTATTTCACCAATTGAGTCATAATTTTTTTTAAGTTGATTTGTTTAAATTGGGATGCAGGTCAGGTTTGCTAGTTGATCCTCAATGGATTGCTTGCAATCTTTTGACCCCTGTTGCTTATATACTGGTGGCCAGGTATAGAGCCTTGGTTAGGTAACTGTTTAATTATTATTTTTTTTTGGCAAGAATCTTTCATAAGTGATGTGCTACTTCCTATTGTATCACATCAAGAGACACAAAATGTCTGTTATGTTTTGTTTTGTTAATGATACAGTGAAGATCATTACTTAGATCATTGAAGTTTCAGTTCCTAATTCCATAATTGGTTTGCATTTACTGATTGGAATTCTTCTAAAAACAACAACAACAAAACCTTCCCTCATCAAATTTTTAGCTGAAGTGGAGTTGGAGAATATTGTGCTAAGTGAAGTAAGCCAATCCTAAAAAACAAAAGGCTGAATATTCTCTCGGATAAGTTGATGCTGGTCTATAATTGGGAAGGGGAAGGCATGGAAAAATGGAGGAACTTTGATTGAGCAAAGAGGAGGGAGGGTAAAGCAGTGAGAGCAGGAAAGACGGTGGAATGAGATGGACATCATTACCCTGGGTACACGTATAACTGCACAAAGAGTTTGATGCTACATCTTATACAACCAGAGAAATGAAAAATTGTGCTGCAATTGTTTACAATGAATCAAAATGCATACTTCTGTCATATATACCTAATTTAAATAAATAAATAAATAAGTTTCTGGATCTATATGGAACAGAGACAAATCAAAAAAATTCAAAAAAGATATACCATCAATGTATCAATGTTAGTTTTAAACTGATTGGGACTTCAGAAGTGATCATTCTGTTTTGAGGGGTGAATTTCAGATTGAGAAGATACCATATAATAATGACTTGTAACCAACTAATGAATGTAGAACATTTTCCAGGGACACAGCATGTGAAATCCACCAAGACCTGATCAGATCTGGGTCTGCCATGTTGCTATTCCTCTGTTGAGTTTCAGAGTAAAGGCAGAAAGAGGATGAGGGGGCTTAACATGCTGGTCCTGATCTTCACACAGAGAGACATTCACTGTAGTAGAAAATGCCATTTCCCTTTGCTGAAACTTTGAAAGAATTATTGCCACGTTTGCATCCTGTCATGGCACTAATGTAAAATCATGACTCATTTTTTTCGCTTCTTGAAAAGTTGTATCTGCCATTTTCATATTCGGATTTTTTTTTTTTTTTTAAAGTTTGGAGGCTGGGCATGTTGGAAGGAAGACTAACAACAAAAAGTGATTTGGAAGTTTCATCTGGAGAGCATTGACATATAGGATAACACTTTAAGATATAGAGAAATTGTGGCTAAGTCTCTCATAGTAGAGGGGAAAGAATCAGAATAAATATTTCTGGCTTTGAATGGTGGCCTGATTGCTCTGGATCTAAGTACAGTGAAAGGGAGTACATCAACTGAAGTAATTGCTTAGCTTGCAGGATGACAGAGCTGCCCAACTCATCATGTCTGAATTAATTCTAAACCAGCAAAGCAATATATAATAGTATATTATGTAATTTAATACAGTCATATTAAATGCACAACTTCAATATTGAAATGTGTTGTAAAGAATTTCTTAATGAACTTTCTCCATATTCTCTTATGGATATGTGAATTGATTATGAAAAAATAAATAATTCTGATCCAATTTCAAACATTCCTCATTTAGGAACTTGAAAAGATTTAAAAACATTCCCCTTAATATCTCAACCAGCTTCCTAAACCTTTTCCCACTGTCTTTAATTCCTTATGGAATGAGGAAGAAGATACGTGGATATAGAATAAAATAAGACAAAATGCTTTGGGATTTCCTTGAATCCTGCCTTCCACAGCATCTTTTTTTTTTTTTTAAGATTTATTTTGTTTGTTTAATCTTTAGTTTTTAAAAAAAAATAGCATCAGGGCTGGGGTGGTGGCTCAGTGGTAGAGCGCTTGTCTAGCATGTGTGAGACACTCCACAGCATCTTTTGTTTTTGTTTTTTCGTTTTCTCTCAAAGCCTCAATTAATATTAAAGTTTCCACATGTGCCAGCTGCTCTCCAGTTTATAATTCCCCACAAAACCTTTGCTGGCTGTGGTTTGATCTCCTCAGAAAAAAAAATGAAAACAGTGCTTATCTCTTCAGGATTCTGTTGTAATCAGACTAGACTGTAGTGTTGAATTCCGTGGGGTTTTCTAAAATCAAATATCTTGGTGTAATTTGTACTTCCTTTTATTTGCATGCCATAAATTCCTGGCATTATCATTTAGAAACCAGAATCAATTGTAAAGCAAAGAGTCCAACAACTCAAATTTAATAAATTTCATGAGTCCTGTTCATTAATTTTTATTACTTGCTCCTACCATAGGGCTTTTATGTTTCCAGTTCCCATTGCCAGGAACACTCTGTTCCTGGGTCTCTCCAGGCTGGCTCCATCTCCTCTTCATGTCTCCGTGAAGAGGTTGCCTCCTGAGGGAGGTCATCTTGGTTGTTCTAACCTAAAGCCCCTTCCCGTATGGTCACTTGACCATGTGTTATTTTCCTCAGAGCCCCTTTTCTGAACTCATCTTGTCCTATTATTCCAAGGTTTTAAATCCAGGCCACTGGAAGGACAAAGATGCCAGTGTTGAGACCAGGAGGCTGTTCAGGAATGGGTTTGGCATGGAGAGAAGGTCAGAAGATGACCTTGAATGGCTTTGTGGAGCCTTTTGGGTGCTAGACAGAGGTTCCCCCTCTGGGCTGGTACAGTTGGGGTCAGCAGAATGGGCTGGATGTCAGCCTCCAATTCTGCCCCTCAGCAGGACATCTTTATGCACAGTTGCAGACAGAAGCATTAATCGGGAGCTTCGGTTTGAGATATGATATGTTCACAGCCAATGAGATACCTCTGGGTAGCCGGGTATGAGTTTGAAGTCTGGGTTTGCAGAGAGAACATCATGTGTTAGGGTTACAGAGGCTTCACAGGAGACTTTTCTTTACACATATTTATACATGGATTGCATTGGATATAATGTATCCTTTTTTCCCCTACTTGTTCATTGTCTCATCCATCTTCATGTAAGAGGAAGTGGGCTGTGACCATGTCTGTTTCCTAATCAACTATATTCCTCAGCCTGGCAGAGTGGCTGGCACCGGGCACTTAATAAACATAATTAACTGAATAAATTAATTGGGAATACCACTATTTCCTACTGTTCTGTGGCTTCATGAAGCTGTATGTCCATACATGTCACTTGTTTCCATTTCTACTCTTCTCCCAAAGCCCAAAGAGAATTTCAATTTTGTTTGTCCAGGCTGAGTACATAGCTCAGTGGTACAGTAGTTGCCTAGTGTGCACAAATCCCTGGGTTTAATTCCCAGCACCACAAAACAAACAAACCAGAAAACCCTCCACCAGTTAACACCATTTACACATGATTACTGAAAGGAAATTTAAGTTCAAAATGATTTTACATTTATTAAGATTGCCTTGCTGCTAAAACACACCAACATGATTGGAAAACTGAAAATGAAGAAAAATAAACTCGATTTAGATAATATATTCCTTTCATGATGGACTTCTAAGCTTCTGGCCAATTCTTGGAGGGACTATTAGTTTTCCTCTTACATTTAGTCTTGCTTATTGCTGAGGGTTCACTTTTAAGATTGCTATGTTGCCAACAAGCATTCTGTTTCTAGCTAGTGAGATGACTGAAGAGTTCAGTGTTTCTGTTGCATTTAGACCCAAGACTGGAAGAGATGGGTGCTTAGAGCCTCAGAGTTTTTGTTTGGAATGGTCGGTAATGGCTTTGCACTAGAGGGGAGGCTCACACCTGGGTATGCACCAGTTAGTCATTGCTGCATAACAATAGAGCAAGCCAACATTTAGTTGCTTAAGTAATAAGCATTTATTGTTGACCACAAGACTATGGTTAAGCTGGGCGGTTCTTCTTGTACTGATTGGGCATTCTTTTATCTTGGGGCAGCAGCTCTGCTCAACTTGGCTGGGCTCTCTCTGATATCTGGGGATCATCTGGCTGAAGCTAGTCTGGCATGGCCCTCGCTGGAATATCTGGGATTTCCTCCTGCAGTAGGTTATACCAAGCTTGTTCACATGGCAGTGGCAGGGTTTCAGAGCAAGACTAGAAATACCAAAGCCTTTTGAGGCCTCACCTTGAACTTAGTATAGTACAACTTGTGCCTCTGTCTATTGCTCAAAACAGGGAGCAGAGAAATGAACTCCATATCTGGAGGAGAATCTGCAAAGGCACAATGCAGAGTGTGGGTATGAAGAGACCACTCATTAGAACCATCAATCCAACACATGGGCCAGAAGGATATATGGGGGTGAGGGAATTGGTGTGAATCTCCTTTGATTAAAGAAAAATGTGCCGTGAAACCTGAGCTTCTCTACTGGCTTGTAGGCTATAAGGCTTAAACTATACTCCTCTCAGAAAAGAGAATCTCATTGAAAGTCCATCTGTAATTGTCAGGGAGACATTTCTAAGGTAATACACCAAGATGCTCTTTGCACATGACCTGGCATAACCACTGTTTTCCTTGATCATGTTGGTTTTTCCACAAATGATGAATGTTCTCTTCCCTTGTAGGATTATTCCCATATGTTGACCTGTGTTACTGAAAGAGAGAAGTTTATCGTACCCATCAAAGCTAGAGGTGCTCGGGCCATCCTGGATTTTCCCGATGAGCTGAATTTTTCCAATTGTCCTGTCAAATACAGCACTCAGAAGATTCTACTGGTACGAAACATTGGCAACAAGGACGCTGTGTTTCACATCGTAACTCATAGGTATGCATCCCTTTGGCTCTTGTTTCTGAGCATAGATAAATCAGGTCAGCACAAGTAATTTGCTAGAATAACATTCGGGATAGAATGACTTGTTATAATCTCCAACTGCAAAGCTGGGAAACCTCACTGATACAGATTAGACTTCCTCTTCATCCTACAAGGAACCTAAAGTTCTTATTTTATATCCATTTCTAACCAAATCTCTCACCTGTTGGTTATGAATTTATAAATAAGTTGTTTTGATCGAGAAGTTTTGTAATTGGCTGGATTGTTTCTATTGCTGTTTTAATAAACATCACAAACTTAAAGCAACACAAGATCATTATCTTACATTTCAATAGGGCATATCCCCCATTGGGCTAAAACTAAAATGTCAGCAGGGCTATGATATTTTGGGCAGTATGGGAGAATCTATTTTCCAGCTTCTAGGGACTGTCCACCTTCCTCAGCTCATGGCCCTCAGTTGTCTCATCTGAAAAATAAGGGAAAGTATAGAGGCCTCATAACATAGGGCTGTTATGAGGACAAAAGCGAGTTAATGAACATAAACTACTGCTACATAGAGAGTACTAAATAATAAGTGTTTGCTCTTTATTTATTTTTCTTAAAATGAGCCAAAGCCATTTGGCAGGCAGAATAATAGTTTTCCAACTATGTCAGTGTCCTAATCCCCAGAACCTGTGAGTGTGTAATGTTACATGGTAAAGAGGGGTTAAGGTTACTAATCCGCTGACCTTAGAATGGGGAGATTATACTGGATTTTCTGAGTGATCCCAAAGTAATCACAAGGTTTCTTAAAAACAGAACAAGGAAGAAGAGGATTTCAGAGGGATGAGATTTGAGAAGGATTCAGCCTGCTATTGCTGACTTTGACGATGAGAATACTGTGGGATTGAGAGGGTGTATCAAGAGCACAGGGGTAGTAAGTGATGGACTTGAATAGAGTAGCTGTAGTGTAGACATCTTGGGACAATATAAAGGATGGTGAGGAAATCCCTAATGTAAAGGAACTCTCTTATAAGATGGAAAAGAACCATTTTTAAGGGGTATGAGAATGGTGACTGAATGGTGGGGCCTTAAAAGAGCAACCAGCTTGAGAAAACAGGAGGCAGGGCTCAAATTGTTTTCTTCATCTTTAAAAAAAATAGTGTGTATATTGATCTAGACTATGAGCTCATTTTACAGAAGGTTCTTTTTTTGGGGAAGCCTTTGCTGCTTAAGGACACATTTCTCTAGAAAGGATTAGCATTGTCTTCTTCTGGTTCCCAGAGGTGAGACCCTATAGTGGTCTTTTGGTAATTTCTTGCCTGAGACTTTCCTGGACTGGTGGAGTATATTTGAACCTCAAACCTGCATAAGATGCAAAGTCCAAAGTTAAAAATTTCCTAGATAAATTTTGTTTCTCACACCCAAAAGCAAGATAGACATTTTTCTCCTTACTGATAGGAGGATATTCCTTTCCCAGGTTTATACAAGGATTTGGTACCAGTCCTCTGACTTGAGCATCTCAAAACCTTGTCTCCTGTTCCAGCAGGGCTGTTAAAAACCTAGGCTTTTATGCTTTGGAGAGCCCAGGGCTGACCTCGATTTAGCTTGGTGGCTCCCTGCTCTGATTCTTAGTTTCCTCTTTGTTTTGGAATACTTTGAGTTTTCCTTAATTTTTTGTGCATGTCCAGCTCTACATTTGTATTTTATTTTATCCAATCTTCCTATGTATTTTCTGGTAGAAGAGTTTTCAGGCTAGCCAGTCTGCACATTTAGGTAGTACTGTTGCCATATTGCAGGTCGAGGGCATATCCTTTGGGAGGAAATTTGTATTTATTCTTCCAAGTATCCCAAGAGAATCACTGTCACTGAATCATTTCATGTAAGATATATGTTTCTGCCTGGTATTCCATTTCTCCTGCAATAAAAGCTATCTTTACTATTTCTTGTAGAATAAGTTTACTATGAATTCAGTTTATGTCTATCTGGAAAAAAATCCTATTTTTTCCTTTATTTCTATAAGACATTTTCTCTACTGTATAGAATTTTGGGCCAACATTTATATATACACATATTTTCCCAGTATTTTAAAGATGTCACTCAATTGTCATTTGGCTTACATTTTCCTAATGAGAAGTCTATTGCCATTCTTACCTTTGTTCCTCCTCTTATTGTTATATCTTTCCCTTGGGCTGTTTTCATGATTTTGTCTTTATATTTGGTTTTTAGCAGGGTGAATATGATGTATCTAGGTATAAATTTTGATTTTTTTTGGCTTGTTGTTTTAAGGATTTTGTTTTGCTTTTGTTTTGTTTTACTTTAATCCTCTTGAGGTTCTATGAATTTCCTAGATCTTTCATTATTTTTTGGAAAATCTCATCCATTACCTCTTCAAATATTTCTTCTGCTTCATCGCATCTTACCTTTTCTTCCACATGGAGGCAAGTTCTGTCAGCCACAGGTAAAAGCCACTGGTAAAACCATTTGTACATGTCCCATCTCCCTGGGAGAAGGGGGATTGCCTGTCTTTAGATTTCAGGCAGTTTGCTCTGAAACCTCAGCTCTCTGATAGGTTCAAGAAAAGTTGTGATTTTGTTGTTCTGCCAGTTTTGTTTTGTTTTTTTCATTGTTAGGATGAGAGAAACACTTTTCTCCTTTCTGTATCCTAAAGGGAGGCAAGACTCTCTGAACTACTTTAAATAAATCAAAGCCAAAGTTCTTTTGGAAATTAGTGTCTCCTGACATCATTCATCAACCTAGTAAAGCCTTTGCCATCTCATGGTGTGAGCCTCACATATTTTGATTTAGAAGGAAGGAAGTGGATGTTCAATTGGCTCACCATGACTTAGGAAGAACCCATCTTTTTTCATTAAACAAAATACAACTACCATGCATAATACACATTAAAATTTTCCTATTACATTGATATTTTTATATATGAAAAAGATAATCTACCTAATTTGAAAGAAAAGTGCAGGAAGTATATCTTCCTTAACTGCTTATCTGAATCTTAAAAATTACCCATAGATGGGAATTTCCTGCCTATTAGATTCATGTAAATGTGAAGCAAAATTATATTTAATAATTTGCAGTTGCAAGAAGAGATCTAAAACTGTTCTATCCATTTGACAATGTAAATCATATTTTCTTTTTAAAATTTTTAATTTGTTACATATGACAACAGAATGCATTATAATTCATATTACACATATAGAGCACAATTTTTCATTTCTCTGGTTGTACACACAGTAGAGTCACATTCTTCGTGTCTTCATACATGTACTTAGGAGAATGATAACCATCAAATTCCACTGTCTTTCCTACCACTACACTCCTTACCTTCCCCTCCCTCCCCTTTCCCCCTTTTCCCTATCTAGAGTTCATTTAATCCTCCCCCCTACCCTGCATCATGTTATGAATCAGCATCCTTAAATCAGATGAATCAGTCAGCATTTGGTTTTGGGGAAATGGCTAACTTCACTTAGTATTATATTTCTCCAGCTTCATCCATTTGCCTGCAAATGCCATGATTTTATTCTCTTTTAATGCTGAATAGTATTCCATTGTGTGTATGTACCACATTTTCTTTATCCATTCATCTACTGAAGGGCATCTAGGTTGGTTCCACAGTTTAGCAATTGTGAATTGTGCTGCTATTGTGAATTGTGCTGCTAAACATTGATGTGGCTGTGTCCCTGTAGTATGCTGTTGTTAAATCCTTTGGGTATAAACTGAGGAGTGGAATAGCTGGGTCAAATGGTGGTTTCATTCCCAGTTTTCCAAGGATCTTCCATACTGCTTTCCAGATTGGTTGCACCAATTTGCAGTCCCAACCAGCAATGTATGAGTTTGCCTTTTTCCCCACATCCTTACCAACATTTCCTGTTTGTTTTCTTAATAGCTGCCATTCTGACTGGAGTGAGATGAAATCTTAGAGTAGTTTTGATTTGCATTTCTCTAATTGCTAGAGATGTTGAACATGTTTTCATATATTTGTTGATTGATTGTATATCTTCTTCTGAGAAGTGTCTGTGCAGTTTCTTGGCCCATTTATTAATTGGATTATTTGGGCTTTTTTGGTGTTAAGATTTTTGAGTTCTTTATATATTCTAAAGATTAGTGCTCTATCTGACATGTGTGTGGCAAGAATTTGTTCCCAATTAGTAGGCTCTCTATTCACTTCACTGATTATTTCTTTTGCTGAGAAGAAGCTTTTTAGTTTGAATCCATCCCATTTATTGATTCTTGATATTAATTCTTGTGTTTAGGAGTCTTATTAAGGAAGTTGGGGCCTAATCTGACATGATGGAGATTTGGGCCTATTTTTTCTTCTAATAGATGCAGTGTCTCTGGTTTAATTCCTAGGTCCTTGATCGATCCACTCTGAGCTGAATTTTGTGTATGGTGACAGAGAGGGGTTTAATTTCATTTTGTTGCATATGGTCAATCATATTTTCTTAATATGGAAATAATTCTAAGGTAAATTGGGGAACCAACTCAAGGACTAGCCAGAAACCATGAGGACATCCAAATTTCCATTTTACAGGTGAAGGAAGGAAGGCAGGAGGACAGAAATGACCTACCCAAGTCTCTCCAAGAAACTAATCTCAAAACCTGGATTAGAACAAACATGGGTCAGTTCTGGGCTCGTTTGTTCTCAGATCCGTTTTTTGTCCTGTCCCTACTTTGGCCCAGTATCATTGTGGGACTGAGTTAGCCTTCCACTACCTCCTGAGGCTGGCTGGATTCCAGCTGAGTTGGATCCGTGGGGGCACTGGAAGGAGATTGGAGAGTAGGAGGAAAGAAGGAAGGAAGGAGCTAAGATATTCTTCTTCTTCCTCCTCCCCCTCCACCTCCTCTTCCTCCTCCATCTTTAGCAGAGTCCCCAGCAGCAGCTGCAACTTCTCTGTGGTCTTAGATGCTGTCAGACTGGCCTTCCCAGGTTCCAAGTTCTTCCAGGTAACCCTAGAACCCCAGGATGTATAATGCTTCATCCTTTCCTTTCATCTCCAACC